TGATTACCCCACACTTGTTCAACCTGCCTGTGTGGTTCAAAATTTTCCCAGCTCTGTGGTCATCAATAGTATCAAATTCATCAATATAACTTAACCATGCTTCATCATCACAGTTAGAAACCAAGTGATGATTTTGGAGCACAGCCTAATAAGAACCTGGCATTTGCCTCTCTTTGCATTGTTGATACTCTTGAGAACATCAGCCAGGACATTCACGTGCACCATTATAGTGCAGTGGAAAGATGGTGGAAAGAGCTTGAGTTTATTATTTTTTTAAAGCATTTTGTTAATTTTTTTAATTTTTATCCTCACCTGAGGACATTTTTATAAACGATTTTTAAATTTTTATAGAGGAGGGAGGTAGGGGGGAGAGAGAGAGAAACATCAACGTGAGAAACATATTGATTGGTTGCTTTTCACATGCCCCTAGCAGGGAATCCAGCCTACAACTCAGGCATGTGCCCTGACTAGGAATCGAACCAGTGACCTTTCAGTTTGCGAGATGACATCCAATGCATTGAGCCACACCAGTCAGGGCTTGAGTTACTATTTTTAGTGCTGAAAAAACTCTTGATATCTCTTAGGAACTTCTATCCATGAGTAGGTATTTATTTGGCAACTTATGAGTAGTGGCAGGAGGGACATGCTGCTTAGTACAAAGTGCTTTGAATGACTTGGGTAAAAATGGTGGAATAGGTAAACGTAGCTCACCTCCTTAGACAACCACATCAAAATTACAACTAAAATATAAAAGTACATCCATCACTCAGAACTGTCTAAATTGAGTTGAATGAAAGTATGACAGCTATGGAATTAAAGAAACCACATCCATCCAGACTGGTAGGAGGGGCAGAGATGTGGGATGGGCTGGTCCCACATCTACGTTTGGTGGGTAAACATTTGGGAGGGATATTGTGGGAGTGAGGAGTCCTAGTTCCACACCAAGCACCACAGCCCAGGGTTCCAGTGCCAGGAAAATGACTCCCCATAACTTCTGGCTGTAAAAACTGGTGGGATTGAGATGGTGGAAGAAACTTCTGGAGTCCCCTTAAAGAACCCACAATACAGACTTACTCAGACTCACTCCAGTACCAGGGTAGCAGCTTGAAAGGCTCCAGTGGCATATGGGGAGCAACTGAAGTGTCTGGCATTAAGGTGGGAACTGGGGGACAGCTTTCACCTGGACAGAAAGGTGGGAAGAAGCCATAGTGCCTTTGCTGAGTCCTTCCCCAACAAAGCCACAGAGTTGGCAGGAGGGTGCCTTGCCTGAAACTCCATCAACCTAGCTAACACTGTTTGCCCCACCTTGGAGATCCCCTGAGACTCTGTCCCATCCAACTTACAGGCCCACCAAACTGTTAACCATTGACTTTTTTATATGGATGCCTGGTGTTGGTTCATGTTTCACAACTTCCTAAATACTGTCAAAGAAACAACAGCCGGCCTCAGTGAGTCCCCAGCCACTGTACCTCTTGCTAAGTGTCCCCAGGGCTGGCACTAGCAGCAGCCAGCTGAGAGTCACAGCTTGGATTCTCCTGGGAATCTTAAAGCCCCACAAGTAGTAGCCATCTCAGATTGCTTTATAGTTCAGGCAGGGTGGATCTGGGCAAAACACTGGTAGGGGCTGATGTTGTCCTGCACCACCTGGGAAACCGGAGAGCCTGTACACCGAGTGGACAGCTACAGACCACTTTGGAGCAACACCATCCTGCCCCTGCACAGCTGATCCTTCATGGACGGTGGAGGTTGGTGGTCAGTGGTCACAACCCTTCCTAGCAGGTGACTGACATGGATAAATCCCTCCCATTAACCTGACAATAGCAATCAAGGCTCAACTACCAAGAGGAGGGTGTACTTAGCCCACACAAGGGCACTCCTTGAGTCCCCAGTTAGCGTAAAAAGGAAGGCTGTGCCACTGGACTCTATAGGACATGGCACACTACCAAGACACGGAGTCAAAGCAATTCTACCTAATACAAAAAGCAAACACAGGGAGGCTGCCAGAACAAGAAGACAAAGAAACATGGCCTAAGTGAAAGAACAGATCAAAACTCCAGAAGAATAATTAAACAAAATGGAGATAAGCAATCTATCAGATGCCGAGTTCAAAACACTGGTTGTAAGGATGCTCAAGAAACTTAGTGAGGACCTCAACAGTATGGAAAAGATCCCGTCAAAAGTGAAGGATACACTAGTTGAAATAAAGAACAGTTTACAGGGAAACCGTAGTAGAGTGGACGAAGCCAAGAATCAGATCAATGATTTGGAACATAAGGAAGCAAAAACAAACAAACAAAACAACAACAACAACAACAAAAAAAACAATCAGAAGAACAAGAAGAAAAAATAGTCCAAAAACTGAGGATGGTGCAAGCAGTCTTTGGGACAACTTCAAGGGGTCCAACATTTGCATCATAGGGGTGCCAGAAACAGAAGAGAAGGTACAAGAGATTGGAAGTCTATTTGAAAAAATATTGAAAGAAAACGTCCCTAATTTGGTGAAGGAAATAGTCCTGCAAGTCCAGGAAGCACAGAAAATCCCAAACAAGATAAATGCAAAAAGGCCCACTTCAAGGCACATCATAATTTAAGTATCAAAGCTTAAAGATAAAGAGAGAATCTTAAAAGCACAAGAGAAAAGCAGTTAGTTACCTACAGGGAAGTTTTCATAAGACTGTCAGCTGATTTCTCAAGAGAAACTTTGCAGGCTTGAAGGGATTGGCAAGAAATATTCAAAGTCATAAAAAGCAGGATCTACAGATGAGATTGCTCTACCCAGCAAAGCTATCATTTAGAATCAAAGGGCAGATAATGTCTTCCTAGACAAGAAAAAACTACAGGAGTTCTTCATCACCAAACCTTTATTATAGTAAATGTTAAACGGACTTATTTAAGAATAAGAGTAAGGTCAAAATTATGAACAATAAGATGGCAATAAGTACATATCTATCAACAGTTGAATCTAAAAAACAAACTGAGCAAATAAGAACAGAGGCAGAATCATGGATAGGGAGAGTGTTTCTTATGGTTGCCAGAAGAGAGGTTGGTATTGGGGAAAGGGTGAAGAAGTGAGGGGATTAAGAAGTACAAATAGGTAGTTAGAGAATAGTTATGGGATATAAAGTACAGTATAGGAAATGGAGTAGCCAAAGAACTTGTACGCATGACCCATGGACATGAACAACGGTGTGGTTACCGCCTGAGGGAGTGGAGGGTGCTGGGTGGAGGGGGGCAAAGGGAAAAATTTGGGACACTGTAATAGTATAATCAATAAAATATAATAAAAAAAATCTCAAACTGCTTTGCTATTGCCATTTTGAAATTTTAAGTTTAAGATAAAAAAAACTTCTGATCTATACATGAACAAAAAGAAAAGTCCCTGGGCAACAAACTTAGACTGTGCAGTGTAAGTAAATGAACTCCTGGGTAATCTGCGAACATTTCATTTACTTTTTGTATTTGTAGCATGGGATTGCCATTGTGTCATCATTCAGCATACTCCGGAGCTAGACTGTTCAATCTCACAGTTCCTGGGAGGGCAAACACATCTAATAGACTTAGTGGAACACCATCCAGAAAGTGTACTGATACAGTGGGAACCTTTCAGCATGTATTCTGAAAATAACATGTAGATAATGTATTTTAGATTTTCCATATAACTTCTCATTTTTGGGGGGATAATTAGATTATTTGGTAATGGAAATCATTTAATAGTATCTACTGCATAGATAAAGAAGAAAACTTGTGGGATGGGGGTGAGGGGATAATGTGACAACTCCTTGATTAAATGCCATTGCTAATTGCAGTATGTGAGCCATACTGTGCATACAGAATTGTAAGTTTATATATTTATACTTCTTCTGTATTTTGCATACATAAGTAAGGTATATGGATGGGGAAAGCATTATTTCCTCAAAAATGTTATCCTAACTTTAATGTGTTTCAGAGGCAGAGGTCCTTAGTACTATTCTATTTTCTTAATTGATTTAGAAAATAAAACAACCATCACAATGTAATCACATGTGTAATCACATTGCTTGTGATTACAGGAAGTAGCTTATCAGTTTATGAATGGAAGTTACACATTAGATATCACAACAATAAATTTTATATCTAATATAATCTTATCTGTGGAATTTCATATGTTAGATTTGGGGAAGTATTTTTGCATCCACTGGTGAATTTAAAGTTAGCATTAGTATTGATTTATACCTCATTTAAAAATATATTAATCAAAAGAGGAAACTTATAATGTAAATTTTAGCAAAGGATTAAGTTTACATTTATAGTAGTACAGAGTGATGCTTATGTTATACTCAAATGAAAAGAACAAAATACAAAATTTTGTATGTAGTGTTTATAAATTATATTTAAGAAATTAAAAAAAAAGCCTTGAAAAGAAATGTTCCCCAAGTGATTGAATAGATGTAATAGCATTTTGCTGTGATAGAATTTTTTTTGTATTTTGCTGTCGTTTCCAATTTTTTAATTCAATGAAACCATATTACTTTCATAGTGAGGAAAATGCCTATTTTTAGAGAAAATCTATAGCAGTAACTTTGTTGATCTTTATTTGGTAGTGTATATAAGTCATTTATATGCAATCAAAATAAATTTAGCAGGTGTGTGCTATATTTACCCTAGCTGAAGTGCTTTCTTTCTATGACATTTATTTAGTATTGTTGGAGGGAATACATTTTTAGTAAAATGGGTTAATACTATGGTTAATGTTAAGACAAAGGATACCTTTATAAGTTTCTGTGTGGTAATTACTTGATACATTTTATTTACTTTTGAGGTGACTTCTTACAGAAAAAGGGAAGTATGAATGGGATAATGATGTTGTAAGATCAATTGCTAAGTTTTATATCTAGATGACACCAAGGGGTTATTTAGAAAGAGAAAATTTTGAAACTAAATTATTTTCATCTCCTTTTAGAAAACTTAATTTTAAATACCTATGTGAAATATGATTTCTCTTTCTTTGTTTTTTTGACTAGGACATGTATTCCTCCAAGAAATCTTGGACAGCAGATTTTGGTTTAATATATGATTGGAACAACATACAGAGACATTTGCAGTCATGAGTAAGTGTTCTTTTTTATTTCATTTCAGTGGTCTCAGGAGCATTTGTGGTATTGTACTTTAAAAAAAGAAAAAATAATTACTGGTCTAATTGGAATTATGTCACTTCACGTTAGAGATTGGGTAATCTGTTTTGTCACAGTACTGTGCACTTGTCTCTGTTTAAACAAGGAGATAATTTTTGATGTTTGATTTATTCTAAGAAGTTAGATGTGGTAAGGAAATAGGAGTCATTAGCTACTTGGCTAATTTATAGTTCTATTATCTAAAATTTTCTGTTGACTAGCTATTGTAAAATGACTCATTAGAAATATGAGGAGGGAAAATTGCAGTTGACTTTAATCAGCACATGTTTATTGTATGAAACTTGATCATTGAGTAACATGAGTTAATATTTTGTTTAAGCAAAAAAATGTTTTTTTAAAGGATAAAGTTTTCTTTATCAATGTCTTTGATGGAGCAAGGAATCAAGTCTATATAAAATAGACTTACCGATTTGATACAAATTTTATGTTCTCAGTTGTATATCTAATGCTTTCTGTCATTTCTGTACACTTCTGCTTGTGAACAGAACTGGATTTTGTATTAACTGTTTATTTTACAGAGTGAGGGAAGCGTTAAGATTTTATCCTGTTGTAACCCTATGATAGCTTATATGTACTTTTAGAAAGTATAGCTTTTGTGGTTATGAAAATTTTGGGATGGAATGAGCATTTCCTTATTGTAATAATATTAGGGAGTTTAAAGTTTTTCATATATTATCCATACTGATTATACAGTGTGGGACAAAAGTAAGCTTAGAGTTGTTTGTATGGAAAATAATATAGTAACTAATAAATAATAATACAAGAATAAACTATTTTGCATATTCGCAACTGTAAACCTACTTTTGCTCCCCCCTGTATTTACCTTCATGACCAGGATACCTTTTCATATCAACAATTTAAATAATTAGGCAACTGATAAATGAAAATGATGTTACTGCGAAGTATTTGAGTGCTTTCTACTAAGTATGATATTGCAGGAAGGAAGTCTGCAGGCTTTTCCGTGGTGCACATTTTCAGTGTTGTACTTTGAATAAACAAGAATAGTTGCTAGATGAGTTAAAATACAGAATAAGAAAGAAGCAGCGTTTGTTATTTCAGCTCCATTCATATACACTTGTGTGAGAATGTTTATCTAATAGCACAGCATACTGGTGTGCTGCAAGAATTTTTAAAACATGCAGTACCTGACTATTTAGTCAGGGGCACTGACCTCTTTTGCCCTAGGTTGTTAAATAAAGGAATGACAACAGCCAACACAATAATAGTCGTTCGGTGTGAACGAATCAAAATTATACCTATCTTTTTTGTCAGATTGGCAATAGTGTAATTGGCAATTAAATCTCATTTATGTTTGATAAATTTAGATTTTGCAATATAAAATTTTAAATGTCAACCATTCTTAAAAATGAATATGTAATCAGTGATTTTTAATGGGGCGGGTAAATTTGGAACATATGGAGACTTTTTGGTTGTCACAATTACTGGGGGAGCCTACTGTCATTTAGTGGGCGAGGGCGGGGTAGAGTGTATATTTCGGTGTGTCACAGAATTTTAGTAATTAGTTTATGTGTGCCATGAGATGAAAAAGTTTGAAAATCGCAGATCTAGTGTAAAGGTGGTGATGTGAGTTTGCGAAAACTAGGAGAAATGCCAAGACTTTTAACTTAGAAATGCTTATATTTTTTGAAATTTAACTAAATTTTGTTTTACTCTCTTAACATCTTTGTTACAGACGGTGAGTTCTTTGAGAACAGTTACCATGTCTCTCCTTTTTGAATCTGAGTGTCTGAGATTCTTGTCTTGTGCACAACTGCCCCCAAGAACTCAGAGCCCTGTGGGACTAAGGCAGAGGGACAATCGTTTCTGAACCATTACAACTTTTTGTTTGTGAATTGCAATGGCTGTATTTCATTTGCAAGATTTTGAATTGGTTTTTTTTTTATATCTACTAGTTATTTTCTCATCTCTGCTTGTTTTTATTTAAAATTTTTCTGTTTTCTTCCTACTATTTCTTTCTCATTTTGAGTCTTCTACATGCTTATTGTAAAATCTTTTTTAGATCATTGGATTACTTTTTAATTTTATTCAGTGAATTTATGTCATGGTTCTTGGTAGTGTTGGTGTTTTTTTTATGTTCTGTAATTTTGATGGCACATTTTGATGGGATTTTTTTCTTTCCCTTATACTTCTCTCTCTGTCTCTGTCTGTCTCTTTTTGTCATTTTTTCCTGCTAGTCTAGCAGATTTACAGTTGCTTCTAGTCTGACTTTGGAGTTCCTGGCTCAGAATCAGGTCTTGTACTAGTGGATGACAGCCTGGCCCCATGGTGACGTTGGGGATATCGCAGGTTCAGTCACTGAGTCAGCTGGTGTTAGGTCAGCAGCTTCCTAAGCTGTAGCCTCAGTGCAGTTACCAGAACTCTTTATCCATCGAGTTTTCCAATCAGGGAGAAGTGCCTTCCTTGTCTGTGGTTTTAACCAAAGAGTGTGGCTACTAATCCTGTTTCTTGTGGAACCCTCATATTTACAGTTACTCTGTAGGATCAACTTCCTGCTGCCTTTTCCTGCTTTGGGGCCCAGAGCCTAGCAGACCTCCTGGCTTCAGCTTGGCTCCTACTTTGTGTTTCTGTTAGATTTATTATCCATAGAGATGTTTAACATGTTTTTGGGCGTAGGTATGTTATTTTGGTTATTTGTTTTATATTTTATCTGGAATTTCTTTGTTGTGAAGACAGGGGAGCCACTGAGAACGAACAATGCCATTGGGAGTTTAACCACTGGCATTACAATAAAGCAGAAAGTCCTTACTTCACATTTAAGATTTTTAAAAGAATTAGTTTCTGCTTAGTTCCCTTGTTCCTAAAGTTCCTCTTTGTCATCCTTGTACCACTTCACTGGTTAGGTGAGTCTCATCCCACTTCCTCTCTATAGCACTCTGCTTGCCTCTTTCTGGTACCTGTCATACTGTATTAAAATCACCTGCCTATTTATTATATTTTAATCTGTAAGTTCCTTGAGGGCACAGACTTTTTTTATTCCTAGTTCTAAACACTATTCCTGGTACTTAATGGTGCTCAATAAATTGTGCATAGATTTGGGTGTTCCTAAGTAATGCCCTTAGCATTTGGTAGCTATTCCATGGTTTTTTTTGTTTTTTTAGGTGAAATCTGAGCTATTGCCCTAGGGTGGGTGCGATAGAGGGAGAGGGAAAGAGAGAGTGAGAGAGAGAGAGAGAGAGAAGAAAAACATTGATGTGTGAGAAAGTGGAGTGTGGCATTTGATGAAGCATTCCAAGTAGGTGGAGCAGTGTAGGTGGAGTGAGTCATGAAGACTTGACTACGCATAGATGTTTCCAAGTAGTTGAACAGCCTGGAATGTAGAGATAGGGAAGGCCAGGCCATATACATTCCAGGAATCCGGAAAGTTTGGAATTTATCCTGTAGGGCTTAAGGAACTATTTAAGGATTTCAATTAGGAAAGTACCTTAAGGCTTCATTCTGGAAAAATTACTCTGACAAAGAGACATTTTTATGAGATATAAATGAAAAAGATCAGTTACAAACAGTATTTGCCTTTCCTAGCTTTATTCTTAGTTTTCAACTCTTTTCAGGTTCCCTTTGAAATAGTCTTTGAGTTCCCTTTCTTGTTCTTGCCAATTTGATGATTTTGCCTAGTGATAGACATCGTCCTTGAGGAGACCGTGCAACCATTGCTGAGGGGATGTGGTGGTGGTTACATTACACTGCAGTTTCCAGGGAGTGGGAACTGACTATATCAGAGTTCCTGTTTTTGAAAAAAGTCATTGGAGAAGCAATATTTAAAAAATAGGAAGATACAGTTCTGGCCAGTATGGCCCAGTTGATTGGAATGTTTTCCCTTAACTGAAAGGGTGTAGATTTGATCCTGCTGGTCACGTGTGATCCCTGGTCTAGAAGCATCTGGGAGGCAACTGATGAGTGTTTCTTTCTGTCATTGATGTTTGTCTCTCTCCCTTCATCTCTCCCTCTCTCTCTAAAAGCAATGAAAAAGAAGTCCTCAACTGAGAATTAAAAACAGAAAACAAACAACATAGGAAGATATGTCGTTAACATCCAGGTAGAATTTCCAAATCTAGATTTGGCATCTAGATAAGGATCTAGATAAGGACCCGTAACTAAATTATTGTCAGTATTTCTCTGGAGAGTAGAAGAAAGTTTGGGTATTTGTATGTCTGAGTGAATTTATTTCTGCAGGATTTCCTAACCCTACCCATGTTCTTGTAATTGGTTGTACAGCATGTGGGATAAACTGTTGAAGCTGTTTGGGGCTTGGAGGTGACTGGCTCTCACACCTCAGGCCATGTTATCATTTGTACCCAACTGCCCTGAGAGCTGAGGGGATACCTTTCTCTGCACACCCTGCAACACTAGTTGGGATGCCCCGACTATAAGGCCTAGAGAATTTGTCATGTTAAATGCTTTAAGGTGTTTTTCAGCTAGATCTTTATAAATTCTGAGGCTGAATGAATATTTATCTCATGGAAAATGTATTATATGATGCTCCTATGATGTTGTATATTTCATTATGAATGGTTAACTTTATTATAATCCACAAAAACCTTTTTATTTTCATTACTTAGTAAATTGTTCCTTTCTTCTGTATTTGCATAGTTTGCAATGCTTAGCATTTATCAGAAATATTCAAAATTCTGTTTTATTGGATGGTGCTAAAGATGAAATAATGTTATATTTAAGGTGTGACTGTAATTTGAAGTGTATTTCTTAGATCTTTAATGGCGATTATAACAAGAGTAATTCATTCATGTAACACCAAACAATGTGTAGATGATCATTTTGGTGGAATTTTTTTTTAAAAAGTCAGTAAAGCACCAAAAAACAAAAGGGATGATTTAGGGTACTACTTAATTTCCTCTTCCCAAGTTTTAGGTTAAAAAAAGTAAAGCCTATTTGCTCTATTA